CCAAGAGGCAGTTGTTCAAACAGAACATGGGAACACTGAATGGTTTCAAATTAACAAAGGTGTGTGACAGGGTTGTCTTCTTTTACCATACTTATTCAACCTGTACGCTGAGCAAATAATCCAAGATGCTTGGTTATATGAAGAAAAATGTGGCACAAAGATTGGAGGAAGACTCATTAACCACCTGTGATATGCAGACGATGCAACCTTGCTTGCTGAAAGTCAAGAGAACTTAAAATAATATTATGCTGCGTTCAGTTAAAGATGTGATAGAAACTTTGATTGGTTCAAAGGAATATGTATATGAAACTCTTGGAAGTCAAAATGCCAAGAAGCTTCTTTTCTTGGAGGAGTGGGAATAATAAGTATGAGAGTATCTTGAAGATACTCTTCTTGTTGTTGTTGTGTGGTGTGGAGTCTGTTCCGACTCATAACCACACTGTATAGGGTTTCTGAGAGTGGCTAGTGGGTTTGAGCTTGTGGTTAATCAGTCCAGTGCTTATCCTAAAGGCTCAAGAAGACATACTTTTTGTTTGTTGAGTGCCTTTGAGTCAGTTCCAACTCATAGTGACCCTGTATAGGGTTTCCAAAGAGCAACTGGTGAGTTTGAACCACCGACATTGTGGTTCAAATGACCTTGAGGTCCAGTGCATTATCCCACAGCACCACAAAAATGAAACAGAAAAATAACAGTATTTTTCCATGAACTTTTTGAAGCCCCCTTATGTATACTTTTCTTAGACCTGAGATCAACATTTAACAGCTTTAGATTTCATCAAAATCATCTGTACCAGTCTATACATGGCAAACGAATCCAGTGCCTCCCACTTACATCACTGCCATGACTTCATAGTCTAAACGCTGCTCTTTGGAGTACTTCTTACCTCGTGTGGCAAACATTTTTATTTCCTCTCAAACCTCTGGTTATTTAGGGATATATTGGCTTTTCCCTCATGATGTGGTTCTACTTAAAATCCTGATCGCAAGGGTGAGGAGAAATATCTTGGGGTGGAAGCATGCACCTGAGGCATTTTGGGACTTGTGTAGCCTCTCCTCAGAAGGGTGATAAAACATCACTGGGAAGCCTGTGGCACAGGATAGTTAGGTTGGGCTTTGATACTCATTTAATGATTATTTATGACATTTTCATTAGCCAATTTGATAAATAAACTTAAAATGAAAAATTGAGTCAACAATGGCAAACTCTTACAGGTGAAAAGTATAAACCATATTGGTTAGAACATATT